GGAGAGAGAGAGCTCAGAGTGGAGTTATCACATTCGACGAGTCAGTAGTGTGCGAGGGACCCAACCAACGCTAAAGCCAATTTCATCACAACTCTTACTGCACCAGCCGGGAATCGAATCCGGGTCTGAACCGTGGCAGGGTACTATTCTACCACTAGACCACTGGTGCTATTTGCTTAAAGCGTTTCCTTTTATTTACTTATTTTGAAAATAATTCAAATTCCAAATTCAACCCCTTCCACTTTGGTCTGAAAATTTCGGTTCAGATAATCCGACTCAAAAGTCTCAAACCATTCGAGTACGATAATTTATTTTGACGAGTTAGGGAAAAGCTCGGATAATTTTACCCCAGACACCCAATTATTTTAATCTTACACATAAAAAGGATAAACATAATTTTTTTGATAATTTTTTAAAAATGGGTTATGATTACATTTTTCAAAATTATCCACTATCTTTGAACGTAATCCTCGAATTAAAACTTATCTCAAAACTTAACAAAAAACTTAGCTAATACTATTAATTAAATTATTCATAATTATTCATTGGAGTAGCAATTTAGATTGTCAGTACTACCCGTTCAGGTATTAAATTTAATTACCCGTATTGGTACCCTTACCCAATATTGGTACCAATCCTTGTCCGACCCCTTTATCTGTAATGTGCAGGCCTACCTTCCACGCATATACGTACTTAAAGTTTCTACAATCCATTTTGTATTATATATTATTGTATTCTTTGGTCTTAAAAAGGCAGGCGAACAATAACATAGGTCCAATGTTTTAATAAATCCAAAACCTACAATTACTAACATCTTCATTGTGGCTAGACATTGATGCTGCTGCAGTCAAATTTAAGACAAGCCAATATCTCCATTTTCATAGAGAGACCTAAACATGCAAAACATAAAACAATCCAAACTTGTTGCTAAGAGATCCAAAGTAAAACAAAACAGACGATAGATCAGCCTTCGTAGTCGCCTTGCGCATATTTGTTTTCAGGGTAGTATACAGCCACCACTTGGTTTCCTCCAAATTTTCTTCCGTTCATCCCTAATCTAGCCTTTGATGCTCCATCCACATCTGCATACTCGAAGAAAACCTGCAATGATACATTATCATTAGAGGATGCGGTTATGAATGAGTTAGCT